ACACACACACACACACACACAGCAGGAACCCCCTATCCGTTCATTTCTTATTAGTCTAATTTTTCTTTGTCGCCGACCTGGGCCCTCGCGGACACACACCAGATCGAACAACGTATATAAAAGCCGGGAACTAGGACAGCGTTTAGATCTTAATTGGAGAGGAGGAAGTTTAATAGTTCTTTAAAAACAGACGAAAAATTAAAGAAAGAGAGAAAGAGAGAGAGAGAGGAGGATATATAGAGTTGAGAATTACCGTTCGCTGTACAAACAACAAAAACAAAAAACCTGTGGAAGAAAGGAAAAGCGGTGGAGAGAGGTGTTCGGGAAGGAATGTGTTTCGTTCACTTCCCGTGGAAAGACTTGACACTTGAACGTGACACCCTATGAATTAAGTAGATAGGTAATAGAATCGTTTAAAGAAACGGATAGCTTTAAGAGAAAAAGTAGTACCCCGTTTAGATTTGCGAAATGACACACACATACACACACACTGTACACGAGTATACAGACACGCTATATCACGCTTTCGTCGCGTTCAGACTTATAACCATTATCGTTCTTTACCATTACACTAATTTTCTAGTATTTAGCAACGCTACTACCGGTTATCGTTCACCGACGTTAATTAACTACTTCGTCGTATTTACCAGCGTTATAAGTATTTTTCTCTCACCCCCATCCCTCGTAAAAACTGGTCGCGACGTGTTTAAGAAAAAAAAAAAAAAAAAAAAAAAAAAAAAAAAAATAACGATTTTCTTTTTTTTTTCTTTTTGGTTCTCCTTCTTTACTTCTTTCCTTATTTTTTTTTCTTTTTTCGTTTCTCTCACGTGCGATCTTTCCCCCCTTAATTTATTATTACTCCGTATTTCGTCCTGCGTTTATTTATTTTTTATCGTTTACGTTCCCCCCACCCCCCCCACCCCCGCGCGCTTTAGTAAGGATCACGCGTCGCGTTTACGTAGGTGTTCACCGTACACATATACACACAGAGACTTTAGAGTACTACTACCGCTACCACCACTGCGACTATTATTATTACTAGTGCTACTACCACTACTACTACTACTACTATTACTACTAGTACCGCTACTACTACTACTACTACTACTACTACTACTATTACTATTGCTCTATTACTATACTTATTACTATTTACTATTATAGCGAGGTTATGTTGCATACGTAAATATACGCAAACGTATGCGTGCACGTCGCGTGTATATGCGTATGCACGTGTTTGTAACGCGTTCTGTAAGCTATGTTATTACACTATTGTCTTTTAGGGCGTAACTCTTAGGTACCGCAGAAAATGTAAATAATATACTGCCGCGTTTTAACGTCGTCGACGCACACCGTCGAGAAACGCTATTCGTCCGCGTCAAGCGGTGCGGATCGAGCCGTGGCCCTTTGAAACTGTACGATACCTGTATATTACCTATACAGTTATATAAAATATTTATGAATTGTGAATAGTAGTTAGGGAAAAAAAGAAATCGTGTATAAAACGTTCGTTCGTAGGTTTTAGGCCGGATACACAACGCGCGCGCTCCTTAGGTTTAATAATTTTGTTGACGTTACCTTATCGCGCCACGACTCGATCCGCAAGCCAAAACGTCATCCCATCCACCCACACACACGTACACATACACGCATACATACACATACACGCCACTTGTACTATAAGAACATGCCATTTATTATTATTCCGTTTAAATCGCCCCTCCCCCTCGCGATACACCTTTAGGAGACTTAAACAGGGTATTCGGAGGTGGACTCGGTGGTGTGGGTGGTCGATCGTCGTGCCTGCGACGCCGCGCGAGTATGCTCGAAATAATGGCGGTTCGTTCACGTTCCGGCATTGTCCTTGTTGCCCAGTGGCTTTCCAAAATGACCGCTTTTGGCGTGCCACGTACGGTGCTTGCGGGTGAAAACGGGGCGCACAGGCTCGACGACCGTCCACCCTCGTGCTGTTTCCTTTCCTCCTCAACTAGTGAGAATCGATCGCGAGAGAGGAAGTTATCCGATAGTTGTTGTTGTCGTCGTTGCGCTCGCTCCCTTCCTCCCCTCCCCCATACGTTCCCTGTAACCTCGTCGTTCACGGAGAATAGCGTCTCGATGGTGTGTTAGATAAAGAAAGAGAGAGAAAGAATACATGTAACAAACGCAGTCTTTCTGTTTAAAACGAAGCAGGTTGTCGATGGGCGTTCTGCAAAATTTCAGAGGCGCCCGTTGTTGTTTTTGTTGTTTACGAGAAAATTCGACGCTTCGATTGTTCACGGCCCGTGTCCGATATCAAAGTTCCTCGCCTCGACGAAGAAAATCTGCTTCCTTTCTGAAGAAAGACTGCGTCCTCGAAGTGTTGTGGCGTTGCCGTATTACCGACACCCGGGAACCGTTTTAATTGCGAGGTCGGTGACACGGTTTCCCACAGAGCGACACGTTTCCACTGGTTGTAAACTTTGCAGGTTCTACGTTTTATGCAGACGTTGCAAACTTTCGTGTTGGAAACGCGTTGATTTTTTTCCTGAGCGCCGGCTCCCGTCGAGGGGAAAAGGTGATCGCTTTTATTATAAATAGTTTTCCGTCGATTTTTGGAGACTGGTCTTGAGATTCCTAACCCCCAAAGGGCGACGCTTACCTCCTTTTGTATTATAGTTCACTTTACTCTAGCCGAACTTAAAGAAGAAAAAATCTCTAGCGTGTATTTGTTGAGAGGCGTTCGACGCGATAAAAGCGAAAGATTATATATATAGCTAATTTAATTTATACGCTCGCGAGAGGGAAGAACGAATACTTAAGTGTAAAACAGAAAGAAGCGAGAACATGTAATGTAAAGAGAAATGAGAATGTCGGATACACCAACGTTAACTACGCAAGCAATAACAGCAAGGCCTTGCGATTATTCAAATGCCTACCGTTTCGGCGTAACAAGGACGGTTCAACTATTAATTGCAGTATTACTAAATGTATACAGACTAAAAGTACACTTACACGCCAACACCTACACAACGGTTTACTTATACACACTAAATACTTCACATCGGATAAGAAGACTCTGTAAATAGTTAGCTCGTAATTGATATTATAGGCGACAAGACCTATTAATATTAACATCAAATTTATTTATAGTAAATTTTCCGAAATACCATATATATCTGTGTTATCAATCAACATGACCATCCATCCTATATCCTTTTCTGCTTTCCGATCTTAAGGAAAGTTAGTCTTTATTTTTAAGTAATTTAAGTCGCGGGAGTGAGGATTGCAGTAAAGTAACAACACGGTAGGTATATAGAAAGTGATGTATTCATTGTACTTCACAATTACAAATCTACGATTACATTACTTTAATTAATATCGCACGGAAATGCTTTCATATTTATTACTGAATTCATCTATAATATGAAGAATCACAAAATAGAAAAACACTAGTTGTTCAGATAAATTATTGATTATATATGTGGTACACCGGCGGCAAACCATCACCTTTGTATTAATCGAACGTATTTCTTCAATCCGACAAATGTATCAATAAATGTTTCTTCAAATCCGGCATATTTTTTGGCGCGGTAGAACATTTGTGACATTTTAGCGGGGTATGCAAGTATAGCGAACTTTCTTCGGATTTCAACTTTTCCAGTTCACCTTTTTCGCGCAGCTGGTTGCATATTTCTGTAATTTATAAAAAAATATGGTCTATTCTTCATTATTGCAGTATATACACCCTTACCTGATGATTGTAAGAAGAAAGGAGTTGTAAATGAATTCCAATGGTATTTGGTTTTTAGACAAGGGCTGTTAAAATCTGTACTGACCACATGTAAATGTAATCTGTGCATGGTTGGTACAGCATGATATCCAATGCTATATAAAACAATATGTTAAATATATATTGCAATTATTTAACCTTAATGCTAAGAAGGAAAAAACTGGATTACATGAATTCAGAGTCCTTGTGTGATTTGGTTAATTCATCTGCAACATTCTGCATATGTAACAACAAATCTTCATTTTCCTTTTTCACATGCCATATTGAAGCAATGTCTGCTTTTGGTAGAACTAAGTAATGGAATTTGGCTTTTGGATATTTGTCTTTGATGACAATTACTTGATCATCTTCCATTACTTTCATCTCAGGATCATCCATTGAAGCAACCAATCCTGTTGCCCAATATTTTTTTTGATCTGCTGTACCCATTATTTTTAATGTTAATTTGCGTTTCATTCCTATTTACTCATTTTCACCATTTTCAGATGGCAATCTTCATTGGAATACATACTCAAGTAGTAGAACAAGTTTTTGGCAATTTGTCCACTTTATAAATGCCTAAACACAATGCTATAGGTTAGAAAAGGCTAAAAATATAGAATTTTCAATTAAATCACCGTTATTCTACTTTTATTATACATTTACATATGCTACGGGAATGCAAGAGATAAAAGCGGCTGCTGACTAAAAGTTCTTACATCAATTTCTAGGAATGTCAGATCGGAACGGTACATAAATATCCGAGAGGTTATGTTTGCAATACGAACTGAGTCATTAAACACTTGAAAATATAGTCGGTGCAATTTATGTAAGTAGTATCACACATGTTTGTCGTTTATCATTCTCTTTGCACTTGTTAAGTTTGTTGCGTACGAATGTACAAACGCCAAGGTATAAACACAGACGAGGTAAAAGATAGACCTAACACCTAATGCATTTTTTTTGTCCACGTCAAGAGGGCCGAGTGCCTTTACCATTTTCGTATCGCTTCCATCGTTATCGATTCAGCATAGAATAAGATTACAACATTAGTAGTAGTTGGAAGTAGAACTAAGCGTAACTATGAAATTACGAATAAGGTATAAGACAGGATATCATATAATCGTATATGAAGTATAGAATTCTATACTTCTGAATGTATAATTTCGGGATTTTTTCGATTATTACGCATTCCTGACGATATCCAGAGCCAAAATTTTTCAATCCTCTGAGAAATTATTGACTAACATTACTAGTTAGTTTCGAGGAATTTCAGTCAACCATTTCTCAGACATTCTCGACACTATTTTCGCGCAATTTTCGAAGGATTTCGTTCGAATTGTGGGATTTTTACGCAAAAGGAAATGAATTCTGTGTGTAAGGGAGAAATAAATAGACTGTAAAATGCCGTAAAACTTTGATGGTTTGATTTATATAATTTTTAAATTCACCGCTCTATTATCGTCGAGGGCATAACAGAACCTCTGATTTTTTACACGATCGGTATTTCAGAACGTTGAACACAAAGTCCCATAAGGTACCAGGTCTATCCTGTACCTAGTTTATGGTCTAAAGTAACGTTGACTTAATCTGACACTTGTATACAGTGCTAATATGCAAACGCAGGCGCACAAGCATAGTCTTGAACGTAACATTGACATTGGAATTTACGCAAAGAATTAGCGGGAAGAGAAATGAACAGGTTAGCGAATAACTTTAGATTTATTTATTTACTCAAATGGAAGGCAATCGATAAATTTGCAACAAATAAAAATAAATAACACTCTCTCTAGCAATAATTACGTGATCGTTACTTAAACGTACATCATTACAATAAATTCATAGATACTTAACAAAACTTATACCTTTTTTTTCTTCGCATGCTCATACAAAATATGTTCGTGTGATTGTATGTGTGTGTGTTCGCGCGTGCACGTGTTCGTATTACCATTACTTTTTTTGTCGCTTTCGATGCAACTGCACGTAGCATGTTTATTATAAGTATATCTCACAAAAAGAACTCTATACACAGACGAGTCTCGTCTCGTTAAATTTCATGTAGATCGCTTACCTTGTTGCTGTTCTTGTTGTTTATTTATATTTTCATTCGACACAACTCTCATACGCTCGATTATACAAAGACACTTTCACGCGTCTCACGACAGACTACCAGATTCGCACAGCCTGACAAATCAATCAATCATCGATAGATTTCATGATTCATGATTCGAAGAAAGTGAAATAATTACAGGATTGCAATGCTAAGCAACGATATTTGCTGCGATACGTTAGAAAAACAAAAAAAAAAAAAGAAACAAAAAGATGAGGGATCGTACGCCGTATGCTGCTAATCGATGGCGAATTTTTCACTTTCGTTGTCGACGTCGCGTCGTCTGCTTGCTCGCGATCACGTGACAAAGTCTTGCCGTTGCTTTAATCGTAAGTAAATTCGTGCAAGCAAGGCTTGTCCCTGTGGACGACGACGTGTCGACAGAACCTCACGACTCTAATTCGCGTATGATACAATATTATACAAGCTACAAACTTTTATTGTCATGGCAACGGGTGGTACGATTCATAATGACGAAGCGATACGCGGTGGCAAGGGGATTTTTGGCACGACTTTCTACCCCGATCACGCACCATGTTCTCTCTCCTTTTTTTCTTCTCGCGAAAACATTGCGTTTTTAACCTCCTTTCGTGATAAGTTACTTAAATGCAGAGTTAGTAGCATGGTTTCGAAGCGATTTCTAATATCAAAGCAAATGAGCAAAATGAAAAGGAATTGATTTCCACTTAAATGCATGGAATTTTCTTTTAACGTATCCCGCCAAAACCCTACGAGATGGCGCTGACATTTCGGATAGTAGTTATGGCGCGAGTCAAGTATTTCACTCGTACTACGTTTCAAATACATTTGTTCGATTCATTCAGACTCGGGGGGGATTACGTTCGACGGTGAATTTAGTGAAACGGTTAAAAGACAATGTTTGACAATCTAGGATCGTTTTTCTAGTGAAGAATAAACGAAATTAAGTGAAAGTTAGTGTATTGCAAAAGGAATAGTTCAGAAATCCAGGGTGCATCGCGACTTCGCTGTGTCTACGAGGAACATGGTGTCTCGAAGCCCACAGGATGTTTCTCTATTGCGTGTGAACGTTTGGAATGTTACATACTTTTGCTGCTCCTTTGTGCGATATGGGGTAAACGATGATGGTATGTACTTGCTTGCCAAAGTGCCATTTTTTTTTCGATCGTGAAAACAAAGGGGTCACGCCTGATCTGGTTGAATCGATAAAGCATCCCATGCATCATGAAATCTTTCGTTCAAATTTTGGTAGGGGATTCTTTCGTTCTACAAAAATTCGTTTGTTCATTGGTAAAACAGTATCGAAATGATACGAATTAAAAAAAAAAAACTTTGTTTTGCACCGTATCGTAAAGGGATGTTTTTCTCGACTCAATCACGGCGTTTCGAGGACAATTTGATAGCTCTAAGTGGGGTTTTAATTAGCACCATCGCTGATCACGTACGCTGATACCATATCGACGCACTCACATACATTTTCACGTATTATCCACGCTCGGTAACACTGTACGCATTCACCACTTTCGCTCTTTATTACCGATTTAGGCAGTGCGATCCTTTATCGTTACGTCAACGTACGAAGCCACTTGGTTCTGCAAAGAATGTCTCAGAAAAATGCGAGGCGCACTTTAAACATTTTTTACACATTTTACGTACCAATCGTTTTGGTACAGCTTAATCGAAGCGTAAATACAAGTGTGCTTTTATTGCTTTTTAAAACATAACGCGGAAACATAAGACTTACGTTTACAAGCCACTGCATTATCGGCCAACCAAAATTCTGAGACGAATCCTTTAAAACTTTTGCCCAATTACATGGACAAAAGCGCGGCCCGCGGTACGCTTAGCTTCGATCTCTTGCTCGTTTGCGAGTTTGGAAACATGGAATGTCACAAAAACAACAAAAAAGATTCGTAGAGGGAAACGAAGAAACAGGAGAACCGCACGATACCCTGACAAATCGGTACACCTTTGTCCGCACACCCATACCGAGAAACAAGAAAAATTTCTATGCGATTATTGATTAAAATATGTACGTGTAACCTCTAACATCACATGCTCTGCCTTAGAAAAAGTTATATGTATATAGCTGTGCGGGAAAGCCGTTTTTCATCTGGTTTTCCTTTTTCTTACTTCTCGTATTATTTTTTTTTTCTCTTTTAATCATTTTTTTCTCTTCCTTCTTTCTTCATCTTTCCGTTTTGCTCCTTCGAACGCAACCTCGGCTTTCGAACTCAGCGTACAATTTGTATCCTACATATATATGCATATGTATAATGTGTATGTACGGGTATGCATATATACATACGTACAATTCATGTGTATATTTACTCGCGATAAATAAGCTATCCCGATTAATATCGTTACAATTGAATAATGGTTCCATTTTTTTTTTTTTTTTTTTTTTTTTTTAGGGGGGGGGGGGGTTTCGGGGGGGAAATACACATAATTAATTCGAAGGGGTGAGGGAGTTTTCCAGGGAGAAGAATAGTTGGTAAAGGGGTTGGGGGTGGGGGGAAGCATACGAGAAAAACACATACGCAGCTTTCCCGTATTTTTTTTTTCCTGTTTAACACACACGCTATTCGCAGTTATTAAAACTCAAGCAACACACGACTGTAGACTGGATAGTAAAAACTAGCTAAAAACGCTCGTAAGGAGATTCTTTGGAGAATTTTGAAGACATTGTCGTTGTCGTCTTGTTTTCTGGCCTAACGTGACAACAGCTCACCTTGTGTTTGAAAAGTGGGCTCGCTCGTTCGCACGCTGGCGCACGTTTTGCTCTGTTCCCTCGTTCCCTTCGAACGATCGACCGATCGTCAGACGACACACGTTTATGACACACATAACTCGATCGATCTCGTGAAACGAAAGAACGACGATTCCATGCATTGGTTTCTCATACTGACCGAGGAAGACCGAAGTATATATTACCCGTGCACTGGTTCATCGATTGTTATTCTCTATTATAAAACCCCTTAAGAAACGATTGCTTCGTGGTCTCGTTCTTGTTCTCGCCCTTTCGCGTTTCTTCACGCTACCTACGATTGTGCACCATCATCGTCGTCTTCTCGACGTTCTTTCTTTAAATTATTCACCTATAGCAAAATTTCGATTCACGTGAAAATTGTACAATTATTTTATAAACTCCTAATGTTTGTTTGTTTGTTTGTTTGTTTTCGTTTTCTCTTTCCGTTTGCTCTTTCCGTTCCCTTCGTTAAACGAAAGTCCTCCGGCTCGATAAAATTGTTCTCCGTGAAAGCGTAAGTTCCGCGCGCGCGTGTAAGTAAGTACGTAATCATCGTTATCCTTCCTTTATCTTCCTCCTTCTCGATTGATTCCACGGGGGGGAAGTTGCACAGCGGGCGAAATCGCTCGAGTAAAATAGTGTCCTAGAGGCAAGTATCTGCGAAATGATTCGTAAAAATGCACCAAACAGTCACAGACTAATCACAACACGTGTAGATAAGCACTTGGCTCTGCCGAAGTCGTCTCTGTGCTTCGATTCGATCTTCTCCGTTTCCCGTTTCTACATACACGTTCTGGATTAAGTACACAGGGCCGAGCTCCGAGGTAGAATCTCGGGCTAGGTCGCGAAGTCGACTTTGTCCCATGTCAGCGACAAATCTGACGACATCTTGAAGTCTGAGTCCTCCATGTTGAACAGATCGAACGGATCTTGGCTGCTGGCTAACAACGGATCGTAAATGTCCGTTCCACTCGACAAACTCGTCGGTGGTGCAGGCTGATGATGAGAAACAGTCGTGGAAGAGGTTGGAGACGATTGCGGCATCAGAGATTCCAGCCAGTCTGGATCGTCCATGTCCATAGGCATGTCTCCGATGTCCATCAGCTCTTGTGGCGCTTCCATCTTGACTCCTAAGTCACAGTCTAGCTGGCTGAAGTCCATTGTGTCTAGGGTCTCGAGGTCTAACTCAAGTTCCTGCGAGAAAGGATCGTCAATTAGCTTCGGAGAAAATGAGAAATGAAAAGCTAATTTTAGAAGCTATCGGAAGACAACTGGACTCAGACTCACCTTTAGGTCTAGATTAGCGTTATCCGACGACGTCACTTCCTGAGGAGGCTGAGGATCAGGCGACGCCTGCTGAGCAGACTGCGGGCTGAGAAGCATCGCCGCGTCCAGATCACCCTCGGAGGTTAACAAGTCCGTGCTGAACGACGAGATCTCCTCTTGCTGCTGCAACTGTTGTAACGCGGTGGGCAGTTGAATTGAGAAGGTCGCCAGTGGCAACGGGGGAGGTAGCGGTGGCGCTGGAGCTGGTGAACTCACGCAATCACTTTGAGAAACCTCCATCGCGATTGGACTGATCGGACTGATTGGACTAGCAGCGGTGAAAACCAACGAGTGTGTCTGACTGTCCGCTGGAGCTGTGAAGACCAAGTTCTGCTGAAGCTGCCTATTCGGAGTCGTTGGAGTGGCTGGATCTTGCGCGGCGCTAGGTGGTAGCTCGCCGTTCTTGATCAGGATCTCCAGCACGTCGTCGACGACCTGGCTCTTGATGTGGCTCTTTTGGACTGGCTCAATTTTTACCTAAACGCAGAGGAGCACTCGTTAATTTTTGAAGAAACTAACATTTTCCTAGGCTTCGTAACTCAAGTACTGTGGCGGTGCTCAGGAGTTTGCCCGTGGGGCGGCATACGGGCAAGAAAGGGCAACTTTGCCCGCACCTCAATAGCGGTTCTATATGATAACATTGACGAATAGGATCATACAATAGCACCGCGTGGCGGAAGATTCGAGCGGTGCGGGCAAAGTTGCCCTTCCTGGCCCTGAGCTGTCCCGCGGGCAAACTCCCGAGCGCTAGATAGTACTGTGCAGAGCTGGAAAGAAGCGGAACTAATGCTCACACGCATTTTCGGCTCTAGCGTACTATTGGCCAAAACTGTCACACACAGATACTATTTGAATCGCGTGACCCTTCTTGCCCATGTGCCGCCCCGCGGGCAAACTCCTGAGCACCGCACAGTACACCGCTATTGCTCACAGGATCGAAAAATGTGCTTACCTTCAAAAGCTTCGCTGCTTCATCGTACTGAGGCGGTGGAGGTTTTCCATCCTCAGTGGTAGCAGCTTGCTGCTGTTGCTGCTGCTGCTGTTGTTGCTGCTGCTGCTGCTGCTGTTGTGCCTGCGCCTGCGCCACAAGAGCACTCAGCAGCGAGCCATTCAGCTTCGTAGGCTTGGGTAGATTGAAGACTATCGCTGCAGGGATCTGCACGGTCGCGCTGTTCTTCGTTTGATTCTTCTTGTTGTTAATAGCAGTTAAAGTCGAAGAGTCCAGAATGGCGGTAGTATTATTCGGCTGTGCTTGCAAAAACGCAGCCAGGCTGGCTTTCGCATTCAACTGCTGGAACGCAGCGTGTTGTTGTTGCGTCTGCTGTTGAGACTGTTGCTGATTCTGTTGCTGCTGCTGCTGCTGCTGCTGTTGTTGTTGTTGCTGCTGCTGCTGCTGCTGCTGCAAGTGTTGCAACTGCTGCAAATGCAGCGCCAGCTGTTGCTGTTGCATCTTGTTCTGAATATGCTGCTGCAACACGAGCTTCTCAGCGTGAACCGTGGTTGGCTGAGTCTGACGAATCTGTTGAAGCTGTTGCTGAGACTTGTACAATTCACGCTGCAGTTCTTCTATCCGTTTCCTCTGCTCTTTGATTATGTCGTCTCCTGAAACACGAGCTACATCGTGAAAAACACCGACGTGTGTTGCGTTCCGAAAGGGTCGATCTCTCGAAAACAACGTTCTTCGCTGGAATACCGAAGAAACGGCAAAGTGTTTAAGTACCTGGAGGACTCGATGGATCGTCGTGCTCACTGCCATGCGGCGAATCCGTGCGAGGGCTGTTAGGCTCATCCTTGACGGCTGAGCCAGGGCTCTTGGCATGGGAGCTAGACTCGTCCGATGTCACTAGCCCCGGGGTGTCCATTAATATGTGGCCCATGTGCGTCACGTGCGGTCCATTCGAGCTAGACGTGGAGTTACCGCTAGACGATTCCGTGAACGGTTTTAATCTCTCGATCAGCTGTGGCTTCGAGCCAGACACCGGCAAGTTTCGACGTTTCAGCTCTACTTTGAGATCACTTACTGAAAGGACAACACACATACACACACACACGTTTATTCCGATCCATCGTTTTCCTAGCCCTTTTGCTATCATCTCGTCGTTTCGACGTACCTTTCATGTCCTCCAACTTGCCCAGAGGCCTCAACGGAGGCTGCTCGGAGGGGTTGTTCGAGGAATTGGATGGCGCGGGACTTGGCGCGTTCACGCTGCTTCCGCTGATGCTGCCAGCGTCGCTGGCGCCGCTGCTGTTCAGGGACAATGGCTTTTGTGCCGCTGGTAGAATGATCTGAGGATACTGAACAACAGAGAACGAAACGGAGTTACGCAACCGTTCGAGCGGGCACGGTTTAATTACATAAACGTGGACGTGTCGGAATGGAGTAAGCGGCGGTGGTGGTGGTGGCGGCTGTCCGCGCGATCTCGCAACTCGAGCCACCTCGATCTTCGATTATAAATTTAGACGTAATAACGCGATTGCTATGCAAATTTGTGTCGGGGAGAGAAAGTAACGCGTTAACGAGACACATCCGGCTGAGATTCGCCGTGGTTCGCTGGAGTGTTGCTAACGAGCGAGGAAAGTGGACGCGTTTGCCTGGGTAACATTTCTATTTGCCTGGCCTGATCGCTTTCTTTCGAGGGGAACGTACCTTGTGCTGCCATTCGAGCTGCCACTGGAGGAAGAGCTGCTGCTGCTGGAGCAACAGTTCATAGCTGGTCTCGCCGGGTGGCGCAGAACCGAGACCGGAAGTCGTCGACGACACCGAGGTCTTTTGCGCGTTTGGCGGGCCCTGGTAACAACCATCGATCGATAATTAATTCACTACTAGCGAGTTGAAAAAGAAAAGGGAGGAGGAATTTCGTACTGCGAGCCACGTTCAATTCTAAAAACACACACACACACACACATATATATATATGTACGTATATGTATACAATGGTAATCGAGAGGACATACATATGAAGAATCTACCGAACGCAGTACACCTCCCCGCGTTTCGATCGTTCCTCGATGGTGCAAAAATTCCGAGTATTCCGTGAGGTGGTCAGGGGGGTAGGGAAAAAAAACTGGCGCAAAAATGAAGTTAGCGATTCCGTGGAGGGATCGGGAGCGATGTAGGAGAAGACCGTGTGGCGCGAGTGATAAATGATACATCAAGGTGTTTTCTGCGCCCTCATTTGCACGCCCATTCCCGGTTCGCTTTCACGCCATATCCCGAATGTTTCGGGAGCGTGGCCCGGGCCCTTGGCACCTATCGCGGCCCCTGGGCCCCTCTGCCCCACCCCTGGCCCGCCTCGAACCCGCCCGGACCCCCTTGGAACCGCTTCTTCTTCGCCTTCGCCGCTCCCTGGCTTCCTCGCTCTTAGGTGCAATTAGCGCTCGAATTACTCAGAGCTAACGAGGTGGGCCCCGGGCACAGGGGCCCTTCCAGAGATCGCGAGAGTTAATCACCCGATACGATCTCCTTCTGCGCTTCTCTCCCTTCTCTCTTCTCTCTTTTATTAAAGAAGATCGAGGCAAGGAGAGACAGAGACAGGCGGGATTTTGCTCCCTCACGAGCTACAGGAGCCGAGATTTACCGTCCTCTTCCCTTCTTTTCTTCTTTTTTCTGCGCTTCCTCCTCCTCCTCCGTACGCTCTTATTCCCCTCTTTTCGCTCTCTCTCTCTCTCTCTTTCCTTCGGCCATTCTCTCGCCCGCTTTCTTTTTTCTACTCTTTGTTACTTTTTGTCTCGGCAAGGTTTTTGCTATTCTTCTCTTCTTTTGCTCTTTGCCTCCGCTTCCCCTTTTTCTCCTGTCTCCTACTACTACTCGAGACACTCTTTACCTTCTTCCCCCAACTTTTACCTTTTTCTTGTTTTTCTTTTAACCTCCTAACTTTTAATTTCTCCACTTTTCGCAAATTTCCCTTTCTCGTTTTATCTGCAAATCAGGTTACGATAACTGGTGACAATTAGCTTGCATCACGTACAGACAGATACAGAGGCACACATGTACCCAGCGGAGAACGTTCCCGATTTTTGCCTTGGACAGTGAGGCGAGTCGTAAAACGTTACGCGAGTTTTTACTTTCGTACGGTCGTACGGGTTTCGCGTTTAAGCAATATATTTGCACCTTGCGGACATAAAAGCCGCGCGCGTTCACGCCCACCACCCAGAAATATAAACAGAATCAAGAGTGAAAGTAGCGAACGCCGCGTCTCCTCGTATATACCTCTACCAAATACAATACCAAAAAGGTGAACCAACTATCTTAATCCCATACGAAAGAGCGTCTATCTGTTAACCTTCGGGCGGCGGATGTCGGGTCACCGTTGACCCAGCTTTTAGGTGTCTCTTCTTTCAACCGACATTCTCTTTTTCTTATATCATCGGTATGTTTCTTATTTTAATCATAATACATTTGCATAATTCGACAGGATATAGAACCTAGTAAAATGAAAAAGTGTGTTTTCGCTTGCGTACGAAGAAGAATTTAGCACTGGGTCATATTTGACCCGGCATCCGCTGTCCGAAGGCTAACACGTTGACTGCCACGCCAGATTTACATGTTGCTCCTCTCAGGGGGCCAGAAGAAAATTTTCATTATTCTAAACATTCGAGGCACCCCGGTCACCGGTGACCTCCATGACCCCACCGAGGAAACCATCACGGGTGACCAACGTGGCAGACAACGTGTTAACCCTTTCACTGCTATTGGCGCTTTGAAAATTCCTTCGCATTTACTATCGGAGCCTTTTAATGTTCTTCTCTGCACTCTTCCACGTTCACTCAATGAAACAAATTTCAAAACGAAACGACCAAAGAACAAAATTTCGCGGCCCCAGGGTTAGTCATTGAAAACTACCCTGGAAACAACGATAAGCGGAAACAGTACCGACAAACGAGGCTAAACGGTAAAAAGAAACATGTAAGATCGACGAAAGGCAAACTCACTTTGTACTCGTGGAACTTGATGGTACGCGTCTTCGGCTGACTCTTGGTCTTCGACTTCTTCCTGTTCTTATCCTTGCCGGGCGCGTCGCTCCTCTGACACGTGGAGGCGGCTATGGGGCTGGGTTGCGGCCTCGGGGTGATGGCGGCCGGCGGTGGTGCCGGTGGCGACGCTATCGAGATATTGGAAAGGGGACTCAGGCTGGACGTGGTCGAACCCAAGGACATCGGACTCGGCGCCGGCGCCAGTGGAAGGAGGGTTGTCGACGGACCGTTCGTCTGACTCGCCTGTTAACAGAGATCGTTGCGTTTTTTTTCCTATTTTTTTCCTTTGTTTTGCTTTTCACCGTGGAATCCTCCGATTAATCAGGCCCATCGAGCATCGTCGTGACCGCGGGCCAATTTATGAGCAACGTTTACAACGTTCCACGTATAAATCTATTTTTGCCGAGACTTTTTTTCCTTCCAGCCATCGACGTTCCTCCGTTATTCTCTCTCTTTGCCTCCGCTTTTTTACACGAGCAACTCTATACTATCGTTGCGATCCATATCGACCTGGTAGATGAACCGTTCCCAATACCAGAGGATTCACCACACCGTGCTCACCTGAGTGGAAGCATGTTGCTGATTGTGCTGAACCTGCTGCTGAGCCTGTTGTTGTTGTTGTTGCTGTTGTTGCTGCTGCTGCTGCGAACCGACCACGGTGTTGCACAGTTCAGCGAATGTCTGTATCGAGGACTCGTTCGACGCCTGTTGGAAGACCGGCGACGTGGACGAGACCACTACGGCACCACCGGTCGTTGGAATACTAAGGGAAACTGTGACTATCCCAGCAGAGGCGGCCGCTGTCTCGAGAACGTCCGATCGTGACTCGAGCTGAGGCGAGGGTGCACCTTCCGAGCTCTGAGAGTCGTCCTCGAAGGTGATATAATGGTCGGGATGCTGGGGCTTGGTTACTTGGCCCTCACACGTGGCCTTGAAGGGAATGTGGCCCTCTGTAACGAAATAACGTTGATAAATTCGACCCGTTGAATTATTCGAAGTAGCAGATCTACGCGATACAAAAGGGGTGAAAAGTTTGAAAGAGCGAGCATTACACTTTCTTCCAACGCGACGTGTTCTTTTTACGAACTGTCTTAAGCGTATCGATCAAGATCCTCGAGTTGATGCATACACTCACCTTTGACCGCCCTTTCAATGGGCTCCTCCGTGTGGAGGATGTTCTTTTGGATGAGCTCGAGCGGTCCAGGTCGATGACTGAGCTGGTCGTTCAGCTGGTCGGCTAACCTGGCCTTCTTCAGCATCCGTTGCCTTTCGGCCAGGCTCGGGTCCACGTGACCCACATCCTCGAGGATATGCTGCCTAACCAGCTCCTCCCTGCCGGGTCTCTGCTGGATCTTCGCCTTCAGCAGATCCCCGGTCTTCGCTCGTTCCAACTGCTTGCGTTGTTCGTGGAACGCTGGCGGTGTCTTCAGAGCTGTTGTAATTTCGAGAAACGTTCGTTAGGTTCGCCATCCTGAACATGGTCCGTTTTGCCCGGAGTATCGACTAAATATGTGTACCCTAAACGTGACCGGAACGTAGCGATCAAGGTATTATACACGATTCGCGAGAGTTACGAGATACGTGCTCGAATTAACGTTTAAGATGAAAATACATATTTAAGAATCTGCTTTCGGGTTACTTGTTTCGAAAACACCGTGGCAAGTTGTCGATCGAGGTGCGTAATTTTAGAAGAGCAACCTTGCCCGCGCGACGGGGAGAAGTCTCCGTGGTTTCGGCTCGTTAAAAGAGAGAAAGAGGAAAAAGAAATGGACTGTTTTTCGGTGCCGTTCACCCCGCGGTGGAATGAAAATCTCGGCCGCGATATACGGCCCGGAAGATTTTATCTCCCCGCGGGAGACATTTAAATCACCGCGGTTGGAATGCGACTCTACTTTCATCGAGCTTTCCTCGAGTGCCCCGTCGATAAGCAACGCGGAGAAACGGTTTCGCTGGTGCAGACGAAGGGCCGCGGATCTAAGAAAAGATCTGGAACGGAATGAAAAAGCACTTTTCGAGCTTTTAGGGTGTCCGTGCGACGAAGAGTCGCATGCTGCACGCATCAATTTCCGGGATGATGGCCCTCAAAGGTTTGCCCGGTTGGCGCCATTTTCGTGTCAACGTCAAACGACGTCGTCGTCGTCGTCGTCGGACGAGCGCCGCGACGCAGACGGCCGACGCTCGGGCTTCGTTACGCGGAATAAAAGAATCGCGCCACCTACGGTGCGACGATGTGGAAGCGCGTCGCCTACCTTTTTACAGGGGACTCGGAAGCTGATCGATGGAGGTTTGTCTTGACTCCGAGTGATTTTCGGGGGAACATGGACGTGGTTCTCCTTTGGCGATAATATTAAGGGGAAATTGAAGGCCGTCATGTTTGGGGAAAATTGCGGGGGATTTGAAAGTTGAAGGGATTTACGTTCAGAAGTATCAGGACAGTCGTTAAATTACATTTTTTTTTTTTTTGACAAAGTTAGTATCGTATCGAACCTTAACCCCTTGACGTAAGCTCAGCTGTTTACTGTCTTAGTACTGTATTAAGTAAGAAAAGGTAATTAATGAAATTTGGCAATCTTCAGTTTTATAAATTAAATGGAAAATTGGAATTAAAAGTTTTTAGCAAATCTTGAGGAAAATTTGTGGCACGAGCCTGACTCGCTATTATACGGCAAAGGGTTAATATTAGGTCGTTCCATAAGTTCGTGCCGAGAACGAAAAATAACTTAAGGAAAATTCAAGGAAATACTACAGCGACGACATAATGGTATTACTCAAAAAATAGAAAAAAGTTGTGGAACCAGAAGGCGCTTACGTTTTTTTTTTTTTTGTCAAATGTAAACGTTCGTTGGAAACATCGATCTGAATTTTTAAATTCGGCACGAACTTATGGGATGACCTAATACTAAATATCTTGAACTGATTAGTAGAATCATCGAATTCATTATTTTCAACTTATCCATTTTTAATATTTCCAAATACTGCTAGAGTTTGTTTACTCTTGGTGTAGCACAGTTGCAAGGAAAATACGATTTTTAACGCACTTCTCCAGAAAAAGTCAATTTACTTCTAAGAGAAATGAAATTTAATTATTGCTTCTTTTTCGAAACTTACGAATGGAATAAAAAGTGTCAATCTTTTTATACGTTATATAACAATTTGGTACTAATTTTTGCTACATTCTGTATTAATTTTCCTTCGATGTTAATAATCTCCCAACACTTCCTCAAATTTCGCTCACATTCCGCAAAGGTCCAAAATAATTCCGAACACGATTGTACCTTTCCAATGAATTCACCTCGTAGATATGTATTTCGGCGCAACTCTCGGAGCTCCTAGCTCGTTACGCCTGCCGAATGGGTTAACCAAAGCTGAAAACCGCGCAGAAAGACAGGGAGCGGCGAACGCGTAGGAAATGCTAAAATTAACCGAACGATTCGATTCAATTAGGCCTTTCCGACATCGACTCGCGGCTTTTGTCTCACCCACGCGCGTTTCTCAGCGAAACCCGCGGCGCGCTGCCCGTTGTATCGAACGTAAGCCGCGTATTCGCGTTAGCCAGCTGTGACCCAATTGTCTAGTTTCTATCGAGACGCCGAGTAAATCAAGAAAGCCTCGCGATGGACGTGTCTACGAGAGAGAGAGAGAGAGAGAGAGAGAAGGGGAGACTCGTTCAGTTCTGTCCAGGGAACGATCATAAAAATAAATGATGCCTATATCGAGTTTTGCCTTCCAAGTCCGCGAATTTTCGCCCGATAAATTTCACGTTGATCGCGCAACTTTACTGCCGCCTGCTCGAGCGTTACGTTTGTAAGATGCTTTTCGAGAAGGGTCCCCAGATATTCGAGTTTCTCGTGTTCGCGACCGGCTCCCCGTGATATTTACGCGAAATCGGAGGCAATTACGCGCGAGGCTCGTGGAACGGCTTCGAAAGTGTCTCAATTTTCATGCAAATGGAATCGCCGCGTTTCGGTGAAAGCGAACGGGTCTCTTCATATCTGTACTTCTTCTATTTATTTTCGCCTTCGAGAAACTTCTTCTCTTCTCCCTAAATTTCTCATTTTTCTCCTTTGTTCTTATCTAACGACAATTAAAAATCTCTCAGCAAAATGGAAAGAGAATGCAGCCTCCTAACGAGCTCGAACATCACTGAAAATTCCGCCTACCGCCGGGCAAACTTTGTGCAGCGAGACAAAGACGATCATGCAGGCGATAAATCATCCGCAATTGGACTCTCATCGGACAGCAATCAGAATCGCGATTCCAGATTTACGAGCGGCAATTGAACAGTGCAAATCGTAATCGTCCTTGCTCCATTCGCTTACCAGCGACGCATCATTAGTCCAGGCCAATAAACGTCTCGGTTCGTTCAAGCACGAACAAGTTTTCGCGAATAAAGCTTCCGAACAAACTGATTGACAAGTGTGCAAGAAGAGGAACAAGAGGAAGAAAATAGCATTGGTTCGCTCGTGAAAAGAGAGTAGAGCTCGTTAGAGGCTCGATTTAAATCCCCCCTTTATCCTAGCAACACGCTTCGCTCCGGCGTTTCCTTCGCGTAGGCGTATTGTGTAATAAGCGTCCGGAAAATTTCGCCGCTTATGCAACACGCTTCCGCGTGAAGTCGAAGAGACAGGAGAGTCTGCAGGCAGCAGCAGCTGCATGGAACGTTCAGTCTCGGCATTGTTCGACTCTCGTGCTGTTCGTGGAAACCTAACCGATTGTCTGCTTTTGAATATAAGGTTCTGGAATAGCGTAAACTTCGTTACAACGCTAGAATCGAAGAGGGATATCAAAGAGAGCGATCCAAATAGACCTTTATTCATCTTGAACCGATTCGCGCGTGTACAAAATTAGAGTACCCTTTGTACGCGATAAAATTAGGCGGAACGTGAAAATGAACGGTAAAGGATCGTGCGGCGTTTCTAGGAAAGAACCATCAGCAGTGTTCCACGCGTGATATCTTCGACTCCTGGAAGTCGTAAATGAGCAAATCTCGCGGAACGAAATTGCACATATAACGCCAGTCGAAACGGAGTGCATCGAGAAACGCGTCGCATTGCCGGCGGCGGGTTGCAGGATACACAGGCGGTATTACGATGCGTAATAGCAATTGTGCCGCTTAAAAGCGAGTTACGCGTGGATTTGAACGGTCGATGCGTCGGATTGATTCATCCGATTATGAAACGTGGATTCTCTCTCGATGAATTCGATTTGATAGGCTATTCTGCGGAACTGTCGGTCCACTGGATTATCAGGTTATTCAATTATCCAGCGAACGTTCCAGCGTTGTATCCAGGGATATTCTCTGTTATCTGAATACATACAGGTTGTTTGTGGATACAGGGATTACCGGAGACAATTTGATTATTAACGACCGATAAACAGGTTTCCATAGGAAATTCCCTTTAAATTGAATTTGCTGTTGCCTGTCGATGTTGATTTCTGGTAAAGGAGGGTTTACCTGTCTCGGTGGTTTTCTTTTAGGTTGTTTAAACCGAATAGGAAGTTGTAAAGCTTGGGGAGAAAATGAGATTTCCCTTAGGTGAATCTAGAGGGGAAATTGGTATGGAATAGAGAAAAAGATAAGAGGCGATATTAGCGGGCAATTGATCACCGTATAGCGAGCACGTCAATTTAAGGTACTTTAGGAAGTCGCTCGTGTCCCAGTTACTTCCTTTTACGCGGTTGGCCGAGCCATCACGGGCAATCGCGAGGTAATTAAGTTGTAAGTGGATTAATCGGCCGTTACCGCGGAAAAAAAAAACGCGACACGCTGACGAACTCGTTAAATCTAACTCGACACCCCCCACTGCAATCGAGACGATAAATTTGTTTCAGTGGCAACGATCGTTTACCTTCCCTTTTACCGATCACATCTTCAACTGGGTACAGTGTCGTTCAGAAGTATCAGGATACCTGCTGTATTCTTGCAGAAATTGTTATTCGATTTAACAGTTAAATAAACGTATGGTCGCTTAACCCTTTCACTGCTGTTGGCGCCTATAGGCGTTTGGAAAATTTTGAAGAATCTTAGATTTAATCCTTAATTTTTCTTCGTTGCACACTTCCGTCATAATTGAATGAAACAAATTTTGAAACGATGCGACCGAAGCGAGAGATTTTACGGCCGCGATTGAAATCTGGCGTAGCGAAAGGGTTAACGGCCAGCAGATCTAATTGATGATTAAGGAGGACTCGTCAATGGACGAGTTCTCATCGAGTCAGCAAATCAGCTCGCAGAAATGAATTCTGATTGCTAATAAAGATAAAATAAAAAATAAATAGTCTCTCAGACTATTATGGCAATTTTACTCATTAAATATAGTTGTGAAGGTGGAATAAAAATTGTGTCTGTAGTTAAAGGGTTGAATCACATTTCTTCGCCAGATTCAGCTCGGTTTACTCAGAATAATTTAGGTTTGCTTCACATTCGCAGCAAGCGTCTCGGTACTTATGAACGAGAGTGTACCATCGACGACGAACTTTAGCGCAAGTTGTAAAAAACAACGTAATTGACCTAAACACCTAATTGAATTTACTCTGCGAGTCTGTCTCTCTGCTCTCGAAATCCTTGTGACACAGTTATTCAGTTTGGAGATGTAGGGGAACGTTCGAGACGAAGCTTTTTACTTTACTTTTTTTTTTCACTCTCGATTTGACGATAAATTTGCAGGTTCGATACAAAGTTTCAATACGGTGGAAATACTTACGTGGCATGATGCCTTGCGCAACCAGCTGATTGATGGGTCGCCTCAGCATAAGCTTCACCTTCAGCGCTGCAACAGAGAAAACGACGCTTCTTTTACAATCCAACATCGTGCATTATACTTTTGCTCGATCGCCTTAATTCGAGGTTTATCTCAATTGTTGGCCGCCGAAGCTGGGTCATCTGTGACCCGCATTATTCGCGTGAGTTGAAGGTTCATGGGATGTACAGGGGTGTGGGAGAAACATTGTCCATCTGGAATATTTCTGGTAATATGGAACACTGTTATATGCAAATCTTGCACGATATGGAGGCAGATATAATGCGATGCAGATATTTTTTACGTGGGTGGAAGTATAGAGGAGATTTCAAGATCATCTCTATTTTTTTTTACCGAAAAACGTAGTGTAAAAAAACCGAAGAAACATTTTGATGAACCAACCGAGAATCGAACCCGGGACCTTCGAATTTGCAAGCCGGGGCTTTGCGCATTACGCCAACTACTCGCCCTCTATTTTTCCTTGTCGGTTTCCTTTTATTTGGATATGGAGGTCCCGATACTACAGTAGTTTAACGTATTCAGATAAAAATCTGACGAGAAAAATTGATTCTCTGATGCATAGACAAAGAAATCTCAAGGGTCAAAAATGACCCGGCTCTACTTTTCATATCATTGTCGGATCTTCAGCCATCCGACGGTTAATTATCAATCATTCAATTTCCACTTTCGATTAATCCCTTCAATAATCCTCGTTACAAGGAAGTATCTCCAGAAATTATACACAGACTAATTAGAAATCTGACTCTAACAACAAAGATGTTCACTCTTGAAAAAATAATCTCTCGATAAGCCTTTAACAGACTGAAATGATTGCACTCTAAGGAGAACCATATACAATCAGGGCAGAAACCACGAAGACTTCTATGGAACAGCCGTGGAATTTCAGGCGGAGACAGGCAGGTTCTATAAAAATCGCACGATCAAAGTCGATCGACGGTGGCCACTTCTCGGTAGCCGATATTTTCTTTCCGCATGCCGTTTAAGCTGTTCCATATGGCGTGGCTCTTGTAAGTTCGGGACAGAAAAAAAGGCCTGTGTGCCTAACCCACCAGAGGGAGTGGAAGATGGAAAAAGTGTTTCCAGCACACGCGTGTGTATCCCCTTCTTTTCTCCAGCTGGTTAATTGGACCACCACCACACAGCGACCTTTTCTTTTATCCCCCGCGTGCTCCACCGCCAATTTCGCGTCTCGATAATTAACCCTTTCGCTGTGGATTAAAAGGACGACGTTCGGCAATAAAATTGCATATTTTTCTTCTGTGCTTGAAAACACTTCGAAATACTGTAAAACTTGTTTGACGGTATGTACGTTGATTAATACGTTCTCCTTGTGTGGTGTATTTTAGAACAGGGAATACACACAGTCCTGTGTCGCTGTCTGGACAGTACAAGTAGACACGGGCTAATCAGCGAAAGGGTTAAAGAGCCACGCGCAGACGAGTTCGTCCCCGCGCGTAAATTACCAAAAGCTTCCATTTTATAGTTATTCCACAGACGACACGCGTGAATCCTCGCGACGTGGCCCAGACACACCGGATATACCAGCTGGTAACGGGATTTGCGTACCGTATTGTTCCTCGTGCTAAGAGCTACCTGTGTTTCGCGACACGGCTACCTGTAAAGTTCGCTCCTGCAGGGTGAACTGCTTAACGCGATCATACTGGGTTATTCTGTTGCTAGTGGACCGATAGACATTTTTTTTGCGTTGCATAGTATGGTTCAGAGAGACCTTTAACCCTCTTATCGACATCGACGCCTGTGGACGCTTTGGAAATTTGCTCGTACTCTGGTTTCGGAGGCTTTTGGCTCATTTTCACCTTGACACGTTCGCTACCGGCCAAAAGTTTGGAATCACCGAGCACTGCAATTTACACAAAAATTTCCAGAAAAAAGTCGGCGACTTTGAGAATCTTTTATCATTCGAATCAACTGATATGAGATAAACTTGAAAAGTGGGAGGTGATTCGGAACTTTTGGCCGGTAGTGTATGTGTGACGCACCAATTCCCATGATAGAACGGTATTATCTATTCTAATTAATCGTACAAAGTGCACAGTTTGAGTATTTGACAGACATTAGGTGCGAACAAGCGCAGGCATCTATCGTATACGTAAAATTGAAAACAATATAGATATTAAATAATTGGAATAATTTCATCCTTCGCACACTTCCACTGAAAAATTTAGGTTTATCTAGGTTTTCTGGGTTTATACAAAAAATTGAAGGTGATCTTGCAACCTTGGACAAAAATGGACTGATAAGAAATGTGCAATAATCGTGTTAAAGGCCTCTTCGAGCCGTATCGTGTGATACAAAGAAATTTCGATCGGTCCACTAACACCTGAATAATCTAAGATCACCCTGTATATACCAGCAGGTCGAGGAGGTCCTGAAGCAGCTTCTTGTTTCGTTTAAAAGGGGGGTGTTGAAAGTGGTAAGCTAAAGGGCATAATGGGAATCGTAAAGTCGAGGGGTTTAGGTCTGAAATAGTGATTTTTTGGTTTAACCTCTTGCGGTTCTGGGTATATACTCCAAGTTTATTGCCACCGCGTTAACCCTCGTTGACCCTGCGGTTTTTCTTATTGCTCCAATATAAACACCTCCGGGACTCTTTTCTTTTATTCTTCTTGGTTCCGTCCAACCCTTTCGATATACCACCATTAGGCAATACCAGAATGCACCAGACATTTCACTATCGAGAAACGGTTTACTTTTAATCACAAGTATCTTCATTTCTCAGCGTCGAGTAATAGCTATTTCGTTTGATTTTTAAGGGATAAAAAATTCCGTCGTTAAGAGTAGAAACGACTCGAAGTACGCTTAAAGGTACTTGAAAGATTTGCACTCCGAGGTTACACGATCGATCGATGATAAATTGGTCACGTGCCACGAGGCAGAATCAGGGATCACAACATCATCGCGATATCTTGGCGAGTGTTCACGGTTGGGTTCAGCGTTCGGGGAGGATTCGGCGGTCGGTTAATTAAGGGGCGATCACGTGGGATCGTGATTCGGGAATTTGGAAGAGAGCTCTTTCGGGGTTCGCAGATCAAAGGTCGAGGAGAAGAGAGAGAGAAAGAGAGAGGGAGGAAGAAAGAGGGTGGAGGGCGGACTCGGGCCCGGTTACAAATTAACACACAAAGGGCCCCCGGTTATAAATACGCGGAGGAAGCGCGGGCCAGATTGCATAAATTGCCGGCGTAAGAGGAACAAAACCGCGGGCCGCATGGCCGCGCAATCTGAATTCAAAGCAGCCCGTGCCCCGCAGAAAAATGTCTACCCCTTTCGTCGGTTTATTGGCCGCGAGAGCTCGGCCAGTTTTTTTCACCGATCCACCGGTGACTGTAAGACTTCGACGTATGTGCCCCGTTCGCGAATAATCCAGCGTTTATTTCGCCGTGTCCACCCTTTCTTTTCTGTCACGTTTCATCGCTGTGCCCAAATTATTCGGCTCTTCCTTTAATTTTGCAGAATTTTAGTCTGTTAGCCGGGGAAGACCAGTTTGTTGGCCAATATTTTAGAACACTGTTTTCAAAAAATCCGAAAAAATTCTGGGATAGAATAGTATAGTCTTTAATATATTATGCAACTGTTCGTTAAGTAAAATGTTCAAGTTTACTCGTCATTGTTTAGCCAATATTTTGGATCACTATAGTGTATTTATCGAGGAATTATTCATTTTTAACCCTCCATAGGCAAATCTAACTTTTTTTTTACGGTTGCAGGTTTTCAAAAAATTTGAAAGAATTCTGCGATAGAATAGTAAAGTCTCTACTACGTTGTGCAGTTGTTCGTTAAGTAAAATGTTTCAAACTTCTTCGGTAAAAATGAAAATTCGTGTCGCAGGAATTGAAGAGTGAAATTTTGCCTGGGTCAAAAATGACCCAGATTGACCACGTCTGCAATTGAACGTAGATCGAATCTCTACAATACAATGGTAGAGTTTTACAACGTTAAAGCGTAGAATTCACATCTGCAAACCTAATTGGTTCTAACTATTAAAACCACAGAGATTCAATTTCCGTCTGAGACTGGTTAAAAGTGATTTCACTTCTTTACGGTAAACGAAAAAGGGAAAGTTAGACGTGTGTACCTCTGACGAACGACACGCTAAACACGAACATTAGGCAGGTTTAACGGTTCCATTAGTAAATCATCACCCTCTGTATAATGTACAAGTTGTCAGGATTATCTCGTAATCCGCGAATCTCGGAAGGAAACACGTTCTCGCCTATTAACAAATCAACAAGTTGCACCGAGTCCCCGAGTTGAAATTTATGGCCACGAAAGGATGGTAATTAAGGCGCGAGAGGTGCTGGCCGGGGAAAAAAAGATTCGCGATAGTCCTGTCGCCTAACGAGCATTCCTGATTCGTATCCTCGCTATCGATCCTGACAATCACGCGCGGAACGTGCGCAACTATGCGCGCGATTGCATATTTCTCCTGGTGGCCGAGAAATTCGCGGAGCAGCCATTCTGCGCTGCATTCTTCGAGGTCTCCCTTCCGGCTAGGAAATTCAGTCAAAAAATTGCCGCGACACAGACGCCAGGAATTTCTGAGTCACGTCGCTTCGAACACGCGTGTCGGCACAAATCGCATTCCCCCTTTTGTTCACCTAATTTTCCAACATTTTTAACTTTCGATCGTTTCGATAACAATTTCACATCCTCGATTACGAGCACGAGGTGGAAAGAAAAGAAAAGGGTACAAAGAACGAGGAACTTGGACGGTGCTGAAGGTGTATTATGGTCCACAGAAGACAAATGGTAACGACCAAAACGGCTACTAGACGCAAGTGCCAAAATACACAGCGCCAAATACTGAGTCAACGTTTCTTGTATCGTTATATGGGCACAGTTGTTGCTAATTCGGTATCGCGTTTCATCTTCGCCCGGTGGGTAGGTGCTCGATGAGAAAGCCCCAGCCCCGCATATTTCCGTTTAGCCTGGCTTAATTAACTCTCGCGGCCCGTCGAGATTTGTAACAAAGGTAAGAGTTACGATCCGTC